AACCTGAAAGAACACTGGGGCAGGGACAGACTTTGCAAGGAGCCCATTTCTATGTGTATTCTCTCCAATAGTCATCCCTGGATTGGTCGATATCAAAATCCAATTTCACTAGGATTAACCGTGGGTTGTTCAGAGCTATTCATTGAATTAGGAACGATTACAGCGGAGGGAGCCCCACGGTTCTTTATTAAGGTCTTTGTGGAAACACTAAGTGATCTTCAGGAGATTAAAGTGCCAGTGGTGTTTTCTTAACATTTATAACCTGTGCCTATACCTGGGGAGTTTCTTTATTAAGAAAGATTCTTTAGCCCACAGCCTGCCTCCTGAAAGGGGTGTTCAGCAGTGGGCCAACATGGAACCGGGCATGGTGAGTCTTAACGCACTTGTTCAGAAATTCTGCCAAGCGCTTCTGAGCAACCTGCCTCTTGGAGTTAATGGATCTCCAATTCAGAGGGTCTGTGAGTCTTCCTGTGTGGGTAGAAGGCTGTTTGATCTCAGAGCTGTATATGTCCATGGTCCAGAGAAGCTGAGAGCAAAACTGGGATGAGCACTGTTGGTGGCCATCATGAGTGACACAAGATCATGAGTGACATGAGGCTTGCTAAGTGAAGGCTTAGCAACAACCATCTTATTCAGAAAAATCCACAACAGGGGAGTAATTACCATTTTATTCATTTTCAGACTGAACTGTAATGACTTTCTATAAACTGACATAGGGCTTCCTACCCTGGCAGAGGGGACAAGCATCTCTATCTATAACCAAGAACATAAGGGGAGGTAGCCAGCCTGGCCTGGTCAATAGAAGGTACCTGTCTCATCTCTGCTCAGGCTAGAACATTCTCTTTTCTGTTGGCTCTTGTTAGAGGCTATCTCTACTGCGAGTGTCCAAGTGTCCAGAGATAGTCCTAAGAAATAACATAGCCATTCCTGGAAAACAGCCACTAATTGAATATGCTTTTCCAGTTTGTGTTTATGAGGGACCTGTTGTAGTTGAATGGCAGCCTCCAAACACATGGGATGTTGTAAGCTCTGTCAACTGAGTAGTTGAGGCCTTCTTTGGGGAAAAGTGTCTTTGGAGATGTGAGACAGTAATGATCTCAAGTCATCCTTGCATAGCATGGTTTCTAACCCTAACAACGAGTGTCTTTGTCAGAAGAGTCAGCTGGAGTAGACCTGAGGGAGGAATGCAGGGAACATGACCATGTGAACACAGAAACAGATGAAGGTCACAGATCCCTAAACCAACAGCTAACCAGACACAGAAGCTGGGAGAGGAAAAGAAAGAAGGAGCTTGGTCCTGTGAACACCTTGGTTTTGAATTTCTATCCTCATTACTACGGCTTGAGAATATTCTATTATTTTAAGCCATTAAATTTGTGATATTCTGACCAGAGACAAACCCGGAGATGTCTTGGTCAGCCTCCCTATGCTATGTGAGAATGACAGCTTCTGCAGTGGGGAGGTGTATCTTGTTTGTGGTTTCAGAACTTTCAGCCTGTAGTTATTAGAGCGCAGGACTTTGGGGAAATGTACAGAGGATCATTCATTTGGAGATAACAGGATACTGAAGCAAAAGAAGAGCAGGTTACGGTCTAGTCCCCGCAGTGATCTCATGTCCTTGCAGGAGCTGTCAGCTTTTACAGGTGCTGTGCACTCCCACAGTGCCAAGGGTTACTCACCAAGCCTGTATCAAATGCAGGTAGACAATATGCCAGCTCTAAACCCCAATGGACACAGAAAAGCACAGATTTGTTCCAGAGATATTTTCCTTGAACAATTCAAGAGAACTGCATAGGAAAAGTCCATTTTTGGTCTTAAAAGTAACAAGTACTCTAGCTGTAGTATAAAAGATGAGGGGCTCCTTGTTCTGAGGTTACTGTCTCTTATACCTGCCCCTATTATTTTGGACCTTGTTCTAAGCCTGTAGGCCATAGGTCATTTATTGTCCTGTCACAGATGAGCAAACTGTAAGTGCTCTGTGCTGGATTAGCTGTTGGTAGCAGTGGGATTGCACACTGGATGGAGTTATTCCATAACCCTGGTTGTAGCACAATGAGTCTAATCGGACATAGGCACACTCAGCTTGAACCGATCTTTTGGTTGTTCTTTATCACTTTATAGAGGATGACACCCCTTTTTACTCCCCCTTACAAACCTTTTTTTGTTTGAAAACAATTTGGATTTATTTTTCATTTTACATATTTTCAGTAAAAACTTTTAGCCATAGGTATCCCTATGTAATAATTTATGGGTATTTGTATAAATGTGTACAACACAAAACGATTAATCGAGCATTGTATGTTTTTATCAAAGGAAACACCACAAAGATTTCTCCAAAGTCCTGTTTGACTAGAGATGATTAATTTTAATTTTTACATGAGCAGCATAATGCTATTAATCATTTAATATGTTTAATCATAATCTCTATAATTCCTAATTAGGTTTATTAAACTGAGCCATTCAGCAATTGTGCACAAATCCAAGTCTAAGTCCCTTTCTTGGGAGGAAGGGAAAGTCATTTTAATTTTTATTCACTTAGCAATTTCTAATACAGTGGAGAAAATGGGCTGGAAACTTAAGGTCTTAGCCATTGTTTATGCCAACTTAGGGTCTTGTGGTAAGACACCGAAACCTTCTTCCTCTTGGCAAAGTAGCAATATCATGATTTAAAAGTAATTTCTTTGTCACTCATGTGGAACCCAATGTGCTGTTACAAAACAGAAAAACATGGTTCCTGATCTATGTGGGTCTCAGGGTTACAGAATGATTCTCTCTCTCTCTCTCTCTCTCTCTCTCTCTCTCTCTCTTTCTCTCTCTCTCTCTCTCTCTCTCTGTGTGTGTGTGTGTGTGTGTGTGTGTGTGTGTGTTGATGTATACGTGGAGGTCAGAGATCAGCTTTAGTTGTTAGTTGGTGTCTCTTTCTTGTTGGAGACCGGCTCCCATCATTGCTGTGTTTACATGACAACAACCTCTGATCTTCCAAGAATGCATCACTGAGTTCAGTTTTATGTAGGTTCTGGAGCAGCAAACTCAAGTCTTCATCTGTGGACAGTGAGCCTCCTCCCTAGCTTACATTGCTATTCATTAACTAGCGCTCGAAGCTGACAAACATGGTATCTACTAATTTATTTGTTATTCATTGATTAGTAGTGCACTAATCTTTCACCCTTTCAGTCTGTCACTGCATCAACCAATCTCTAAGAGACAGTGACCATTCATATAGCATGCTGGTCACAGCTCACTTCTGCTGTCAACCTGAAGTGGCTTCTGACAGCCACTTGTGTTTGTGTACAGGACTCTTGGGTCTACAACCTTTACCTACCTCTGAACTCTTCTCTCTTGCTCATTCCCATGTATTCTTTGTGACTCCAGGTAGCCTCCCCAGAATGGAGGGCTCCCCCTTTACATCATTCTGTCATTGCACATGCTGGGCAGTCCCTTGGCACAGAATCTGGCCCCTAAGCCTCTCCTAGTACCTTTTCCTATGAGCCAGAGTTGGTGTGCCTTGGGATGTCCGGCTGCTAGTGTGACTAAAGGTCACACACCCACAAAGAGCCACTGCGTTGTAATTGGTTTTGGTTTTCCTTCCCTTCCTAGAGTATCTCCCTCTTCACATTTTTAACAAAATATCGTGGTTTTCAGGGCCACACTTGAAAGTTGGCAAAGTCATCTGGTAGGCCTTCTGATACCAAATCACTGTAGATGAATTTTGCACAAGGCACCAGGAGCTCCTCATGTCAACATGTAATTCAGAGTGTGTGAAGGAGGACGCAAATAAAATACCCTAGTGCACCGGAGAGACGCTGGGAAAATTGCTAATTGTGCTCCTGTTGTTTGGGTGTTTCTGTTACATTTCGCCATGTAAGATTGTTGCCTCTAAGCGCTATTATTTTACACCTGGCTGCCTGTCCTAGTTATAGGCTTCTAAATTGCTTATTAATAGAGGAGGATGAGTCTTCGCTCACAAATTTCAGCTTTGGCAAAGACCCTACAACAATAATCTCAAAGAAGTATGTATCTTAAGTGGACAGCTCTACTGCCACCTACAGGCAGAATATGCTAATTGCAGAGAAAGTTCAGAAAAACAGGGTGTCTGTGACAACTACAACAGTTAATGTGACTTTTCTCTTAATTCTTGCCCATATTGTAAGTAGCAGAGTAATAATGTAGCATCCTAATTATTCCTCTGTGAAGAAAAATAAGAACTAATGGGCTGGGCTAATGACCTTATGTTATCTACACCAGCATAGCCCAGCAGAGCTTTTGTACAGATGGGAACATTCTGTTTCTGCCTTTTCCAACATAGGTACTATCTATGTGCGGCTGTTGAGCATTTCAAATGGAACAAATGAAAGCAAACCCATTTACTTGAAATTTAAATGATCTAATGGGGTCCCTGGCAATAGAACACATAGATTTGCACAACGAAGGAGCTAAGTTAACATCCTAAGAAAAAGTTGAGTCCATCATCTGCTTCTCTGGATGAATGACAAATCACCAAAGGGCCTTTGAAAATTTTTGACATTTATTAATATTTTCTCTGTACAGCCTCAGTGCTTATATATGAATAGCATAAGAATTCGAACAGCATTAAGGGATGCATGTTCTTATTTTTAATGATTTTACTCCCTTTCTGATGAAGTTTGCGCTGGTTACCCTGAGCCCCAAGCCCCAAGCCCCTCCTAGCCCCTGTTCCCTTTATTTTTCCCACATTGTTTGTCTCCTCCCTCCCAACTTTACATTTAGTTAGGAGTTGTTTTATTATGCCTTCCCACTGTGAGAGTTATACTGCAGAGACTTTTGATTGTTTTTATTGATATGGAATCTCAGATCTGTGACTGGATACTCAGTGGATGCTCAAAGCATACTCTGTGCTATTAAATATAAAAGCAAACAGCCTCGAAGCTTTGTCTGGCACCGTCCTGCACACAGGGGAACGGAGAGGGAGGGCATTGGGACAGGGAACTTACAGGTTCTTTGCTTTCCTTTTGTTCCCCTAGCAGACAGATGATGCAGCACCGACCGACGGCCAGCCCCAGACACAACCTTCGGAAACCACAGAAAACAAGTCCCAGCCCAAGCGGCTGCATGTGTCCAACATCCCCTTCCGGTTCCGGGATCCAGACCTCCGACAAATGTTTGGTGTAAGTACTACCTTTGTCCTCAGTTTCCCTCTTTTTGGGAGTTCCGTGAACTCATCATTCTAAGATGGAATATTATTGTGGGATAAAGGCATTTTAGTATCTGATACCTGGGTCTATAGTGGCTAGAGTCCCTTAGGGGTGGCAGGAGCCACTTATTTGTTTTAGTTGTGCGTGGGGGAGTTGTGCTTTGCCAGTTGGCCATTTTCTAATAAGTAACTTCAAAAGCAAGCAGAAAAGAGTTGCCTCTATAAACCCCTGACGTTAAGGTCCATTGATGATCACAAATCCAGCAGCCCAGGACCTCACATTATAACTAAAACAAGTGTTGAAGCCCTTGCCTGCTTACCTAAAAGGATGACCATGACCTGTGAGCGACTCTATCCCCATCTTTTCCCAGGCACTGTGCACTGCAGCTGCAGGGAATGGCTAGTTCTATATGAAGCTTAGCCTTCAAAATCTGCCACCACCACCACCACCAACAACAAAAACTACCAGTTTCTAAATCTGATTTGATTCTTGTAGTATACAATTTCCTGGATGAGGGTTCAAGGGTATTTATTATGCTACCGAGGATGACAAAGGGCAATGTGGCCTAGGCATCATGGTGAAACAGAGCCAGCCAGAAGCCACCACTCACCCTGAGGAGATAAAGGATGGTTTTGCTTTCTCCCAGGTCACTAGGACCCTGATTATTTCTCTCGAAGATGTTTGAAGAATCTACCCAGGGACGGGAGGGCTTTACCATTTAGTTGGTCTCAGCTGTGACACAGGATAGCTTTGATGAAGCTCAGATAATGTTTTGTGTTTTGGGATGTAGTTCTTCTGTATATCCTTGACACCCCAGGAGTGGCAGCAAGCATGTGTGCATTAGACCAAAGAACTACATCCTTAACATTTGACTCCGAACAAAGGTGGGCTGCTTGGAGACTCCTCTAAGAGTCTGTGGCGAGCTGCAAATATCACAACAGCAGCAAGAAGAGGCCAGGTCAGATGCCTCACTGTGAGCAAAGCTCATCTTATTCTCGGCATGAAGATGAAGCCCTGGTTCATTACTCGGGGGTTCTGTGATCTCGGGGCGGGGGTGAGCTTGGACCTTTTATTTCCTTAAGACACACGATGCTTATCAAGTCTGCGTGTGACACAAAAGCAGAGCAGGCATCCTAATATTTTAGATACCCAGGCTTGAAACCTGACATTTCAGAGGGAAAGGTCAACTCTCGCACTTTTATCGCTCCCTCATTTGGTAATAACCTTGAGTTAAACCCTCTAACTCTTGCAGAACGAAGATACCCTCGGGCACTCTCAGGTCAAAGATGACTTTGAAAAGTGCAGAGCATTCGAAGTGAGAGTCGAGGTTAAGTGTGTGCAAAGCAGTGGGACCCAGCTTGACTGATGGGTAGCTGAAGGAGTTCTATTCTCTTTGCCATGTCAAGCCAGGGGATGTCTTGCTATTCGGTCTGTCTCTACTCATCAAGTGTCACCGGGATGTTGGCTTTGAGCTGAAGTCTCTTAATGACCATTCTCACACTCTTTTATGGTGACATGCAAGTCAGCCAACCCCAGCTTCTCACCCTTAAGGGTCTATTTTCTTCCCTGGACTTTTTGATTATCTTGAACTTTACCTGAGGCTACGGGCTAAGTCAGAGAAGTAGTCAAAATACTCGCAGCTGGAAGTCACACAGATGAGATGTGTATGTTAATGTCTGAATCTCTCGGTCCTTGGTCCTTTAGGGTTAGGGCAGATGGCCCAGAGACAGAACTTGTCATTTGTCATGCTACCTGATATTAAACTCAGATAGAAATCTATTTGTTTCAGAAACACTGGTTTTGTTTTTTTCTTTTGAGTCAGAATTTTCACACAGCTAGCTAACAAGATGTTGATTTGATGTGATGATAGATAGACCCATAGCATCTGTCAGTTAAGGGAACACAGTATACGTTCGCGAACACTGAAATTAATTCTACTTATCACAAACAACATCTGTGTCTATGTTAAAGAGTTTCTGTGGATTTTGTGTGGTGTGGATTTCATCTATAAAAATTATTGGACCATATGGATTCATGGACCACTTGTACTGTCTTGGGAATCCTCTTTGGTTTTTACAACTGCTATTTTAAAGAAATGGCATTTTCCTAAGATGAACACTGGTGGTCACAAAGCCATTCTATTATATGATACATTTAGCAGCATGAACCATACTGAGAGGCATCTGGAACTTTCTGCTTGGCTCCCCATGGTGAAGTTTAGGGGATTCAACACAGTTTCCTCTTTGAGATCTTTTACTATAAGCAGCCATGTTTTAGACTCAGTTAGCCACCATGAGGTCTTTGACCATGAGACAGTATCTTTCTTTGCCGCAGTCTCTTCTGCTTCTGTCTTCTGTCCCCTAGCTGGGTAGGAGTTAAATGAGGACTGTTACAGAGTAAACCACAAACATCTTTGTGCCTCCTGCCTCCTTTGACTCTATTGTTCAACCGAGGCACAGAAATCTCAATGTCAAGAACATAACACAACACAAAGTACCATCATTTTCCAAATTGCCTAGAACTTGGCAGTTCCTCACTTCTCCAAGTGCCGAAACTTTCCCCATGCTTTGCACAGCAGCTACTTGCCTAATGGTGCCAAGAGGCAGCTCGTGGTATATTTTAATGTGTGCTTTCTGTACCTTTCCAGAGAGACGGGCATTATGGTTGCCTCTCTTCACTGTGTGTTTCCCATTCTCCACTTGCATCTTTGTCAGGGGGCACTTCTTCCAAATTGACATCAATTTGGGCTTCACATTCCATTTCTTTGCATGCTGTCTTTGAAGGTGGTGTATTCATTCCTTGGGAGAGCAGTGCACGCTACAATAGTCAAAGCAGTAGCTAGAGTCCTTTTAAATCGTTCACAGCTCTGTGAGTGAATGGGGCTAGTGCGGTTGTTAGGAGCACTTATTCCAGATGTTTCAGTAGGGGAACTGAAAACTTACTCATCTCAGCAGACTGTGTGCCTCTTGAGGTCTGCCAGGGGCACGGTGGACAGCACTTACGCTCACATCCCCTCATATTTGAATTTTCATTTGCTCTGTTTTATTTTGTTGGTTTTCAAGACAAACTCTCACCATGCAACTCAAAACTGGCTTCAAATTTGCTGAGTAGCACAGGTTCACCCCAAACTCTCAATCCCCTGGCTTCGTTTTCCAAAATGGAGGGGATGCAAGCATGGAACAATGTATTTGAGCTTTTTCTTGCTCATCTTAGAGAGTGTTTAGTAAGTATATTTTATTTCACATATCTTCTGGCAAGCAGTTGGGGAGTTTACTGCCTTGATTTAGGAGAAGGTTGTGTCATCTTTATCTGCCAAGTTTATAATTGTGGCTCATAGGCAGTCATGATTAGAGACATCAGTATTTTCATATCAAAGTTCTACACTTGAATTCTTGCTCTCATGAAAGAACTCTGTGGATTTCAACCAAATTAATTACAATGTGTGGCTCTTAAAAGAAAAATATGTAATGTAAGTTAATGTTTAAAATTTAAGTATTTCTGGATTAGAAATGAGAGTAGACTATGATACATCCAGGCCCCTGGTACAACACAAGGCACCTCAGAATTGTTTGACTTTAGAAACAGTGTGATCAGTCCACAGTCTGCAGTTTGTAGCATGCCCTTGATGCCCCAGCCTCTAGGTTTTGTTATCAAAATCAAGGTACTCCAGGAGCTGGAGGGATGCCTCAGTCATAAAGTGATTGAGATGCAGACACGTAGGCCAGCATTCATCCTCAGTGCCCATGTAAAAAATATCTAGAATTGTTGGCCCTTGCTTATAATCCCAACACTGGAAAGGTGACAGGAGTCTCCTAGGCTGGCCGGCTTAGTAGCCCAGACAACTTGGCAACTGTCAAGTCAACGGGAGACCCTGTCTCAGAAAACAAAATGATGTTGCTTGAGGAAGGACACCTGAGGTTTTTGTCTAGACTCCACATGCATGCACATATGCACGGAACCTGCACAAACACATGCATCTGCACATGCACAGAGCACAAATGTATATATACACATAATAAATAAAGACATATCGGATAGAAAAATGATCCTTTAAAGTCTGTCTTTAGTCATAAAGACAAAGCACATGACTTTTTACTTGTGAAAAAGACACTTGGATGAATCCTTACAGTGGGTGCGGTGCTGATAGACTCCCATGCTCCTTTCTTGTTAATACAGCACTCTATAAACCAGGGCGTTAGGCATAGTAAATTCATTCTGAGGACATCACCGTATCTTCTCTTTATGCACTGCAACCACATTAATAACAATTCCAGGAATGAGCACACCAATTGGCTGCCCAGTGCCAAATGGTCAGTCCCGAAAACATACAAACAGCACAATAGGAACTCACTAGGTTATATTTAGAAATATATATGTATAGACATTCATTTATGCATGCAATAACAGTTAGTAAAAGAAGAGAGATATGAATTTGAAAAGTAGGGAAAGGTATATGACATGTTTGGAAGAAAGAAATGGAAAGGGGAAATGTAAGTAAATTATAATCTCAAAAATAAAAGAAAAAAATTAAAACGAAGCTCCAGCATGAAGCCCATCTTCAGTCTCTGTGCTCACGCTGAACTAACTTTACTTTCAGGTTTATGCTGTAGCTGCTGAGCATCCTTTACAGTTTTCTGTGAAGTATTATTTGGTCTAAGGATGTCTAAAGCTGCTCAGTACTTTCTTGCTCAGGCACAGGCACATCGCCGTCCAGATTCGGGTCTTGACACAACCTTTGAGGTCCCTCATGTGGGACCAAGTTGCCGCTCAGTGCTCGTGAACATTGTCGTTGAGCAAACAAATGCTAGTTATGTCTGCAAACGAGTCGTGTCTATTTAAATTGAAGATGTGCCAGCTGTGTTGGCATCATTAGCACCAAACTTCTCAATTAAACCGCTGATACTATAAATATAGCGCACAACTGTCTTGGAAAACGGGCTTGCTTCAGCATTCTTCCTATGGCTCGTTTCACTAGCTTCCAGATTCATCCACACGGTGCCACCTGCCAAAGAAGCAAACACTGGAAATCATTCCAGGGCATATGGTGTCACTGCTTCATTTAGGGAATGACACATGCTAGGACGACTTTCCGATCAGTTCGTCTCATCCAGTTCCTGCTTGAAGGGAAGCGTTTTTGTGTTGACTGCTTAGGGAGTGTTCCATGGGTGACATTTGCTTCATGGTGTCGGAAGATGTCTTTTTCAGCCTTCTTTTTTCCATAAATATATGTGCTTTGCAGCTCTGATGCCTGAAATAAATAGGAAAGCATCTGTGGGGATGGAATATTCTGCAGCCGTTGTTCTTTTGAAGTGCTTACACGGTGGCGGATTCTTTACTATGGATCTAGGTTCACCTCTCAATGGCCAATTCTTCATTTGTCACATTGGAAAGTTTTCTTTGTCTGTTTTTAATGAGTTTTTTTTTTCTCTACCCTAAAAATTGACACAAAAACGTTCTAAAGAGCAGGCAAGATGATTCAGGAGATAAGGTCCTTGCTGCCAAACTAAACACACAAGGTTAAACTCCTAATCCTCTGACCTCCACATACATGCCTTTGTGCACACACAAACACATTAAATAAATGTGAATTTTTTTAAAATAATAGTTATTTTATTGAGTACTAGCAGACATCTCTTTCCATTGACTCTCCAAGTTACTTGCAGTTCATAGACCTGGACGGGTTGGTCAGGGGGACTATTCAGCTTCTCAGAATTACTATTCTTTGTCCCCCTTTGATCCTGACCTCATCCTTATCCCAACCCTGATATCTTTTGCTATAGAGCTTTGATTAACACTCCCATCCAAGGATGAAAGAACAACATGGATTCTCCTGAAGTAACGGGGTAGCAGTGAATATCTAGAATGCACAGGCAGGCAGGCATGGCAGAAACCACCAAGTGAAAACAGGAAGGTGCTGAGCTGCAGTTCTTCACAGTTGATGGCTTCTGGTGGGGATGTTGGGGAAACCTCAGTTATCCTTAAGGGCCTGGCCACTGAGATTTGACCATTCTCCAATGAGTGTTTGGGCAGCATGAACTGACCTTGATATATTCTTTTCTTTTGGGGGAGAGGCACAAGGGTGGAAGGGCGGACCTAGGAGGAATGAAAAACAAGTATGATCGGGGTGTATTTCAAATACTCAATAGGGAAATATGCTGGGGAAAATAAAGAACAGAAAGGAGGGAAGGAAGGAAGGAAGGAAGGAAGGAAGGAAGGAAGGAAGGAAGGAAAACCTGCAGGAATGCATTCCTCTGGCTTTTGCTTTTTTGCTCAATCATTAAAATGGATATTTGACTTCCATTCTGCACTGCGGCAAAATCCCCGTCTTATTCTTCCCCACCAGCATTATGGGGAACAAATTATATGCTTGAAACACTTGTTCCATTTTCTATGACATCTAGGAAGCACAAGAACCTTAAGTTAGAGAGAACTGGGCTATTAGATGCTCATGCTTTCGGATGCCCTAGTCAAGAGCTGCGTGATGAGCAACATTCATCCAGATTGCCAAATTTAACATTTTGTCATACACACACACACACACACACATGACACAGTAGTTATATTTGAATTGTATATAAACAGCAAGTATCTTATCTTATATCCTATATAGTGTGTGAGACATATTGCTTATATGTAATATAAAATTATATGTTACAAATGTTACTTATTCTATAAAGCCTGAAATTTATTTGTCAATGGTCATTTGCCTTTTATGTGCCTGTCTAGTTACTTGATAACTGAAACTTTGTTTCTGGACATTTTATAGAGCCAGCTCATGTTAGGGGTGTAAACTGTGTTTGTTTAAGAGTACACACTGTCATCTGGGGTGGGTGCTGGCATTATCCCGGATCCATGCTGACTCTGCAGATGTCTAGTTATGATGCCCCTGGGACACAGGGCCCTCCCCCCCCCCCCCCCGCTTTGTGTTTTCACTTTTCTCACATGGTCTGGATGCTCCTGGATTTTCTATGAGCTCAGAGTTGCAAACCTTTAACATCACATTCTAGTTGGGTATTTTATTATCAAAATCTCAGCTCCTTGGGGGTGTTTATCCCAGTAACTGGTGAAAATGTTGTGTAGGGAATGACTAGCCATTTTTAGTATCTGCTGCTCAGTGCCTGGGAAGACACACACACACACATACACCGAATTAACCTCTTGGTTAATATTTTTCCTGGGCCCTTATTGTATACCTCACTTGTTAGAAAATGCCATAAATTAAAGATAATAAATATGCCCGCATTTCCTTATTTCAAGCATGTGACTTAGTAACAGAACAACATAAAAATGCATATACTCTTAACTCAGGGAAGGCTCTCTGAGTTGAGGAGTAATTGCTAGTGTATATTGTATAATTTATCTGATTTCTCTTTTTGCTCATGATATATTTCTGTTTCTTTGCAGCAATTTGGTAAAATATTAGATGTTGAAATTATTTTTAATGAGCGAGGCTCGAAGGTAAGCAACTTGATTCAGTTTGGAATTTCTTAGCTTGTTGTGACCCGTCTGTTAGGGAAAGGGGAAATAACTGCACTGATTGAGTCCGTATCCCCAGAGATGCACTGGTGGACATTGCTTCAGAGACCACCTCCCACTTCCTTAATGGTGGGAAATGCATTGGCTTCAATTTAAAATATATATGGGTTAAACTTTAATTGCTGGTTTAAATATAAAGAAAGATATAACTCTATATCTTAAGTTTCCAGAGGAAAATTACCCATGCTTAAAAAATAATGATGTTGCTACACTTTTTGTTTTTCAGTGATAATTATGTTCTTTATATTAAAAAGTGAGTTGATAGTCTCATGAGCAGGTGATTACTCTGTATTAATAAAGTGCAGTTCTTTTCCTGGGTTGCAGAGGAGAAAAATCTCATATACACCAACCTTTTGAATATAATTTTATTCATTAGTATATTACAATCCTAATTTTGTAGTATGTTCCTGCTTTGAGATTGTTTCCTTGCTAGGAAACCAATGATTAAACTGTTTTCTCCTGGAGCTGACAAGTATATGTAGAAGACTCTGAGAGAAGGTTCCAGTACCTTTCACAGGAGATGTATACATCCAATCCATCCAATGTGTGCTCTCTATCCATGGCTATGAAAATGTGGTCCCAAATCTGTAGTATCAGCAGCTTCCAGGAGCTTATTAAAGATACATGCCCACCATCTCCAGCCCAGACAACCAAATCAGAAACTCTAACACTGGCTGGTCCCAGCAATTCATACCTTCGCTTGTGTCTTTCTTTTCTCCAAAGGCCACACTCTCCCATGAATGTAGACCAGCCTTTGCCCACAAGTGTTCGGCACTGTCTCTATTGTTGTCATAAACCCCACATTTTGTCTTCGTGTACCCTGAGAAGTTTCAAGAGCCTCACTCAAACACCCCTCGTAGGAAACAGATTCATAAGACATTCCAGCAATCCCTGTGTAGTCACAGAGAATGGTGTTGGGTGAGGATAAAGTGGTCCTAGAAGCCAGATGAAGCACAGCTCTGAATAGCTCAGACTATAACACACCTACAGTCAATCGGATCCTAAGGAACCTTCATCTCCCATCTTTCTTCTATTCTTAGCCACAGAAAAAGAACATTGGCAATACTGCTATCAAACACAGAGAGATGCTAGGTGGGCTAAACAATGCCCCTTCTGTGGCAACACAGGACAATAGGCAACCAGGAGGGCCCCTAAGCTTCACTGGGTTTGTGTCACATGGCACAGTAACCACACTATGAAGAAAACCTTGTGCTTTATTATTCCTTACTGCATCTGTCCTCCACCCACCCCATCCTAAGTAGATTTAATGTTGACTGAGGAGGGCAGTGTTATCCAAATTGAGGGAATAAATTCCAGGACTTGCTTTACATTAGAAATGATATTGTAACCTGCCAGATGAGTGGAGAGTCAAACCATTATAAGTTTGTATTTCTGTCCATTCAGGGACCTGGTCATTCTTTGTCAGATTTAGCTTTTTTTTTTTTTCAGTCATTCTTATATTCTAACCTCTAAATTGGGATGAGAGGAAGTAGTGAGCTGTATCTTATATGGAAACCATTGAAGTAATTATTTTTATACCTGTAGAGTAAGATTCACTAAGAGAAAGATATTCTCAAGACTAAACCTTCTTGCTTGGGCCTGGTGCATTCCTGGCAAAACTGGTGAAGATAACACAGAATGTGTCCCGACTCTGCCCTGGTTCTGAACTCTTTATCTTCTCATTGTGTTCTGGGACTCTTTTTTTTCCCTTGTTGACTGAGGCTTGTTTTAAATTTCTGCTTAATTTACATTTTGTTTAGAAAGATGTTTGTCAATCGAAGAAAGCTGTTTCATTTCTTTCTAGAGATATTTAGGGACAGCACTACAGTATTGTTGGCTATTTTCAAAGTACAATGGTGTACTATTTTTAGAAATTTTCCCATCTTCTTCTTGATTAGCCCGTCCCTGGTGACTTCAGGGAAAAGAGTATTTCCATTTCAGCATCTGCAGTCAGAACTTTGTTGGACTGTTTTGTTTTTCTTTCTTTGTTCTTTTTTTTTCCTTTTTTGATTAGGAAACATCCAAAGTTGCCTTCTTGTCTCTGTGGGTTGGAGTTCTCTGCCTTGCAGATATGTCTGCTGGCTGGTGCCACGTCATGGGAATGTCTCTGAAACCAACTAGTTGGGAATGCTACCTGGAGCATCTTACAAAAGGCTAGGTGTCCTATTTGGCATCCTGTGTGGGTGAGAAGGGGCATTATTTAGAGGAGCATTTCCATCCTTGCACTCAAGAAATGGAACCATTGTTAGGACCTCATTTCTATCAGTTACTGCCTCAGTTGACCAGGAAACCAGGGCCCCCCCCAAAAAACAGGAACTCTTCTCTTGGTCCCTTATTCTCCATAGGACACTCCCCAAGACAGATGACTCAAAGTTGAGAGAGGATGACTCTACATATGAATGTGTGTGTGTGTGTGTGTGTGTGTGTGTGTGTGTGTACCACCATGCAGAGACAGTAAGTATCTGTAGTGTTCTGGAAACATATAGGCTGAGTATTTTATGTATATCTAGATACTATAGGAAAAGCACATCTTCAAAAGGAAGGACAGTCTTGATCACAAAACAGGACTACATGCAGTGTGGGGGGTGGTAATGAACTGCACAATTCAGTTATTCTTAAAAGAGATTTAAAATAATTTTTTGCTTCTGAGATGCTTTGTTTCTGGGGATACTGTCAGATTTAGCTATTTTTTTTATTATACCTAAGAAATATGCAATCTGGCCTTTGAATTAGTATATATGCATGCACTCATATGTATCTGTTCACTAGTTCCTCTCCAGGTGAACGATTCTTGAGCAAGACAGACTTGCTTCTAGCCCTTAGCTTTTCTTAAGTGTCAGAGAAGACCAGTCATGAACAACTATCATAAAACGTGCTGCATTTTGCCATGACCACAGGGGTTGTTGAAACTCTAAACATGTAGCTGAAGGTAAGGAGCCTTTCTGAGAGAAGTAACTAAGCTGAGGGTGAATGAGGAAGGGAGGGAGGAAGGGAGGGAAGGAGTAAGGGAAAGAACAGAAAAAGAAAATATTTCACAAAGAAGAAGGGGATGTCTTTGCAGAAGTCACTGGAGGGATCAAATATCAGACACTTAGTCATCAAGAAAATTAATTTCTATGGCCATTCCAACTAAGCATGAGTTCTCTATATTGGAGACGGGAGAACGTGAATTATCATGTCGAATAGAGTGTATTCATTCCACCTTCCAGGGAGCTTTGGAATCTTGAATTAAGATTAAAAAAAAAAAACAGGGTGTTTACAAGACTGCCCCAAAGAAAATACACCACCTAAAAGCACTAGTACTAGGAAGGGGAAGTGAGCAGAAAACAGAACTGTGCAAATTTATGAAAGGCTTTTAGATCAGCAAACCGTGTTGTAGGACTCCACTTTAGGTGACAAGTGCTTCATGCCCATCTGAGTAGCACAGACCACATCCTCCAGGAGCCCTATTGTCTCTTCTCTGAGCTCCTGTCCAGGGAGACCTGAGAAGGTGTGTTTCTCAGTGGAAGGATGTTGACGACAATCTGAACTCCATGCCACCTCATTTCCTCTCCCCTTCATCATTCCTCCTTTCTCCTTTCTGCCCTCTTTTCATTTCCTTATTTCCTTTCATTCCCTTTTCCCTCCTTCTATCCCTTCCTTCTTTCTTTGCATTTATTCTTTTTCTTCTTAATTGTGAAGTTCTAGCAATCAAACGTAAGACATACTGGGCAAGCATCCTGTCATTGAACTACACCCCAAGGCCCTCTTTATTTTTGTCTGAGGTAGGGTCTCCCTGAGTGGCTCAGGCAGACCTTGAACTTGTGACTCTCCTGCCCCAGTCTAGAAGCTGTCTGGAATGATAGGCCCGCACTTCTCTGCCTGACTCTGCATGGCCTCTTTTCTTAACACTCTTCATTATTCCACATCGCTATTTCCTCTCGCTCCTAACTCTTCAAACCAAAGGTGTTTAATTCATTCCAATACAAAGACCAAAAAAAGTTCATATTTTTAAGGGTGGCATGGTGCTGTTTCCTTGATATGAAATCTTGACCATGGAGCAGGCCAATAGAAACAACCACAACATCTTGGCTCCTACTTTCAGAGACACCAGGACCCAGGACTTTAGGGACAGAGCACCTGACAGCTGAAAGGACCAGGGGCCACATCTCCAGTCCAGATGGGAATCTCCATGTGGGACTTCTGATCATTTTCTGACCCAAGCAAGATGTATCATTTTAGGGCTGGACAGAGGTAGAATTATTTAAGCCTGCAGGATATTTAGGGCATCAGTTGTAGGACAGGTCAGCTTTGAACCTAACCTTCACAAGTCTCAACAAGTCATTCCTTGGAATCGGAACCATCCAGGGGTCTTTCCTTCCTCAGTCTGCACATTTTCTAGAATGGCAAGAATACTTCTATCTCCATCTTTAGCTCCTCTTCATGTGTATAACATGAATTTAAGGCGGGGGGGGGGTGGTTGCCATGGGTCAGATGAACTATAGAACAAGTTTCCTTGGACAGTGTTTACACTGTGTTCTTTGCAGTGCTTTGGTAATGGAGACCTTTTATGCCAATTAAAATGATATCATCCACTGGGTAGTGGTGGTGCTTGCCTTTAATCTCACCACTTAGAAAGCAGAGGCAGGTGGATCTCTGTGAGTTCGAGGCCAGCCTGGTCTACAGAGTGAGTGCCAGGACAGTTAGGGCAAATTGAGCAAATTGAGTTGTCAAATGGAGCAGTCCATCCCCTCAGATTCTGTCCTTTGCTATAAAAGAACATTTTTGTTCCTTTCTCACCAAAACTAGAATACTATTAGCAAGTATTTTTGAGCACCCAGATTAGGTAGGCAACAGGTACAAAGCTTTTGTGGAATATGTCACTGTATATTAATTGGATCACTCAGGCATGCCCTACTTATGAATCCTCACTCTGGAAAACGCATTGTAAAGTCATTCCGTCAAAGTAAATCCATCTGATCTTTTTGTGTGTGTGACATGGACAAACATCCACCTCCCAGCAGCTTGATATACTCATAGCTCATCCCCTCCACAAACAGAGTAGCTTTATAGTGTCTCCTAGCTAATGTACCCAGCAACTCTTCTCCAAATATCCCTCAATCATGAAGTCATCATAGGTGCCAGTATAGGGCTAACATCAGATGACTATCACCACTCAGAATGCGTAATTATTGCACATTTTCTTTGTAAAGCTGATGCCATGCATGAGGGTCAAGCAACTGTATTAATTGTGTGTGAGGTTTATTCTGTGCAAATTGATAGTGCCCACACAGCGCAGAGTTGTTCCCCACTTATACCAATGTGGAGCTATGTACCTGTAGTATTCCAAAGGTTGGTGTATATATTTCTAAACAAAATGTACAAATAGGCTTAAGGATTTTAGAAGCAGTATGTCAGATTTTCTATACTCACCATAGAAACCATGTCAGTGAAGAGCGAAGGTGGATTTTTAATCATATGGATTAGTGGGGTTGGTGATAGAGGTTGAAATATCAAAAGTAAAAACAGTATTTGTGATGAAACAAAGGGAACATTTGTTGCTCATCATCAGTCAAGAGGATGGGTTCAGCCTGCTGCAGATTCCCCATTCGGGAAATGTCTTTACTTTGGTACCTGTTGATATAGCAAAAATGAATGCTAGCCCAGTGCCTTAGAAGTTCCTTTTCTGGTTAACAGCATAACTTAAAAAGTCAGGCTCCAAAGTCTTTTGTTATTTGGGGAGGGGGAGGGCAAAGAACAAATGCAGAAGAGGACTTGATTATCTACATTGTTAACCAACAAAGGTTGATTTCTATTCATTCCATGTGATTTTTCTTTTGTTTATTAGAACCACAAGTTCAAGATTTATTATGTATATAAAAAAGGTCTTTCCTTTTTTTAGGCTTGTTACTTTTATTTTTTGAGAAGCAAAGGCTGTACAGTTGACAGACTCAAATAACCTTAACTTGCATGAAGAAGAACGGTTCTTAAATCCACGCAGCATGACTCCGTAGGCAATGTGACAGGACCTGAGCGTTCACTGTTGAATTCCCGTGCACACGTTTTATTTTGTTTGATTTTTTAATTTGCACGTCAAGAAACTGGCTCCCTTTCTTTTTCCTCGTTATTTCGTTTATTCTCTGTGAAGACACTGCACATTTATTTTGATCTCATTTTCTTTTTGTTTGATTTCTTTTCTTCCGTAGTGATGTTTAGAAAGGTATTTTTTTGTTTGTTGGTTTGGTTTTTCGTTTTCATATCCATCTTTGAATTCCTTAGGGGTTCCAGCTAACGGGTGACAGGAAAAAAAAAACTCGTTCACATTTGTTGCTTAGTGACTGCACATCATAGTGTTCTTATAATTTCTCTAATTTGCATGTTACAGAACCGAAGCCAGGACAAGAGATAGCAATGAAAGCGAGAGAACTTTGCCAAGCGGTCGTTGACTGAAATAATAATATGCATGTTGTTCTCCTTCTCCCTCCTGCATGCAGGGATTTGGTTTCGTAACTTTCGAAAATAGTGCGGATGCGGACAGGGCGAGGGAGAAATTGCACGGTACCGTGGTAGAGGGCCGTAAAATCGAGGTGCATGTCAAAATATTTTCCTTTTCCTCTTTTTTTTTTTAAATGTCTGCTTCACGCTCATTCGTCCTTCCAGGTGCATCATTGGTGTCTCGTGTGTGACCCTCCTCCCTTCTCATTGTTTATATATATTTATATTTATATATATTTATATATAAAAAGGAAAACTGGCCTTACTTTTTGGTTAAATTTTACTTTAGATTATTCGTTATATTACTGCTGGAGAGTAGATGGCAAAAAGTGAGATGAAAGGGAGATAAATATGAAAGGTTCTGTTTGTTTTATTTTCCATGTTTTATGAACAATGGGTGCAATAGGTTCAGAAGATGACACAGTATTCAAACCAAACCAAATATATATCAAGTTTTGTTTCTTTTTTAGTCCACTTTAGGGTTGAAGAGGGATCCACAGTGGTTTGCAAATTAGACCAAATTTCCAAGCATTCAAAATATTAAAACAGAACAAGTGAGAGGCACTTGTCATTAAATCCTGCAGTTAGAAACCAAAACCAGCTTGAATTTTTGCATTCTCTGACTATAGACATTGAATTAGCAATCAGGATTTCCCATTTCAGCCATGGCCCCTGTCGATTGGAAATGTAGACCCCGTGTTCTGACATTCAGCGACTGCCCTTTGTACCACTGGGTTCCTCTTCAACACAATCAAAGGGTCATATTTGTTAAAACTTTAAAAAGAAAAAAATTACCAGTTAAAAATGCTTTAGTCTTTGGAGTAAGATGTCGCATATTTTGCTTTTTTATTTTCCCCCCTCGACGGTAACGCTTAGGCCCCTCACCAAACCCTCAGTAACCATGGTAACTGTATACAAACCCATGCTGGCGATGGTGGTGAATGGTAAGTGACGGAGTCCATCTGCCGCTTCACGTATTTAGTGCTGATATATCTCTATACATATCTCTCTACCACGTGGATTTTTTTGACTTGTTGTATTAAGTTTTCTTGATGCTCTATTTTTTTGGGTCTTTGGTACGCCTGTAATTGAGTGTACGTTCTAAGCTAGCCTGGGAGGCTCTGATTGGACTGAGTTATGACCAGTGCACATCTTACTCAGATCGTTAACTCCATATTGTGTTACACAATGCACCCTCTCTTTTATCCTTTTGTTAGCTGTGACCTTAAAGCTTGAATGACTCGTTAATTCTTGCGATGTACAAGGCTCTTGTTCCAAGTGTTGAATGCTAGATGTTGCTTCCCCATGATTCCCTTCCCAAAGTGTTGCACACGGCTTTACCCTGTCTGTCCCTTTCTTTGACATTTATGTCCCCTGTACTTTGTCTCTTCCCTCTTCTCCACTGCATGCCCCTTTCATATTAACTTTATTTTCTGTTTAAAACTCTATCTCTTGTTTCTGTGTCACCATGGAGCACACGCATGCTTTTCAATCTTCAATTATGCAGTATCTTTTAATTTGCTTTTACTGTCTCTTTATTAAACTTTTAAATGAGATGACATTGCTTTATTGAAATGATTTGTAAGTTAAATTGGTTATGAAGTAAATGTAATTATAAAAATGTATGATTTTTGGGTTATGCACCTATTGCCATTTGTAAATTAAAATGCATTTTAGTTTTTTTTTAAGTTTTTGTTTCTTGGTTTTGATTTCAATAAGTAATCACAGTCATAATGCATGCAACTAATTGAATCATGGGCTGGCCTTGGTGTCCAGACTCACTTGCGTTTTCTATGTGTATAGGTCAATAACGCAACAGCACGTGTAATGACTAATAAAAAGACTGTCAACCCTTACACCAATGGTAAGTAGACACCTGCCTACCACAGACCTCTTCTCTGCCCGTCACTCCAGCGTTTTTTAACCAGGGAATCTGTTTCTTTTTCATTTTGCTCTTTGAACATTTTATACCTGTGTACATTGTATCTTTATCACCTGCACTCCTAATTCCCCTCCAGTCCTTCCCAGGAACCCCCATCATATCTCCCATCCAACTTCATGTCTTATTTATCTGTCTTAACCTAATGGTTCTAATTAGCGTTGCATGGGGTGATCCACTGGAGTCAAACTCTTAAAGAAGATTGGCCCTCCCAGGCCAGGCAGCCACAAACTGCCCACAACTCCTCAGCTAGGAGTAGGGCCTGAGGAACCTCCCTCCCAACTATGCTGAATTTTCTTTTAACTGTGCAGGTCTTGGGCAGCTGATATGAATTCATGTGTGCCATGTGCCACATTGGCCCTACCTGGCTACTGTTTCATTGCTGACCGGCTACAGTGAGCAACCTCAGAGAAGATTTTCACAGCAGAGTGAATACAGCTTTCCAGTTCAGCCATCTTGGCTCTCTAGAGCAGTGGTTCCCAACCTGTTAATCTTGACCCTCGCGGGCTCACATATCAGATATCCTGTATTCACATAGCTAGTCATAACAGTAGCAAAATTAGAGCTACGGAATAGCCTCAAAAGTAATTTTATGGTTGGGGTCACCATAGCATGAGGGACTGTATTAAAGGGTCGCAGCCCTGGGAAGGTTGAGAACCGCTGCTCTAGTAACTGTCCCCAGGACTGACATTAGTTATGATTCACATGGTTTAGTTTCTTGTAATTCTAGCAAATTAAGAGGAGAATAAAAGTTCTGTTTATTAATTTTAAAGCCATATATCCTTAATAATTTGTCATTTCCAGAAGTGTAGTTACAGAATTTGGTTCTGGCTTTCAGACTTCTTGGTTGTCAAAGCGTTTTGATGGCTGAGCTCCATAGGAAAGTAGCTGAGTGGGCCTTTCTTTCCCAAGCACGTATCCCCGAGCGCCACAGGACCACACGAGTCTATGGATATGTGCTGCAGACTCCTCTAAGGCAAAGAATTTCTGAGGTTACCAGGAACATTTCCCAGGACTTGTCATTAACAGTGACTGACAGGCAACTGTGGGTGTCGCCCAGGGGTAAGGTGCTTGCCTAGCTCGCACGAGACTCTGGGTTCAATCCCCAGTATCACCAGAAAAAGGGGCTTCCTTTTTATATGAGAGTTATTAAATATGTCCCCACATTTGGTCACTACTCCTTCTCAAAGTAAGCATCCATTAAGGTATAGGGAGGGGTAAGTCTGTTTTTATTTTAATGGGAAAGGTGATTCAGCAGCTAATAGCTCTGGGTTCAGGTCCTAGTACCCATATAAAAGCCAGATGTGGCTACAGAGCTGCCAGTAAGGACAACTCCACGGGGAGTGGGGGAAGAAGGATCACAGCACTGGCTGTCCATAAACCTAACTATAGGTTCAGTGAGGGACCCTGTCTTGGAGAGGAAAATATCACAGAACTATTAACCAGGACACGCAAAGTCTACCTCTGGCCTCATAACATGCACGTATGTATACAGACATAACAATCATATCCATACACACATATTAAATAAATAAAAAAATAAGTAAGTAAAGTGTTTCAGGAAGTTAAAGTATAAGAACATGATAGAATATTACACCATTAAAATGACCCGTGTAAAGGTAATCATGGGATTATAATGAGAAAGAAAATGTGGATAATGAAACCCAGGCCCACGCTCTGATTTTAACCAATGGCAGTAATTCTGCCAAAATGGTGATGATATGTTGGATATCAAGACACAAAGATACTTTTCTTTGATTTACAGATTTTAAAAAATAACGTAATTTTATTTTACGCAACTGGAAAATGTATGGAATTTATATTTATAAGTTTTAATTATATGTGAAGCATAGATTTATTTTAAAACAGAAAACAACGAAGGAGGAAACAAAGCAGAAATGTTTGGCGAGCACTCTTGCAGGGCTGACTTCCCCTCCCCTCAGATGAGGCCACTATTATTGGCTGTTGTCTATAATTCCTTTGGCATTTTCAGACCTAGACATACAATAGATGTGTGTGTATAGTGCTCATGGTATGATCTACATATTCCTGACATAAATAGCATCATGACATGCATAGCTTTTAATCAGTGCTTATGGAACAATTTGGACATCTTTAGATGCTGATCTGTAATAATGGAACGAATTCTTTCTTGTGGCTATATAGCACTCCACAGGTTGATTCAGATCTTCAGCGTTCACTGACATTTCATTATTTTTGTTTCTATTTTTGTGCTATTGCAAACACATTAGCATTTTATAATTTTTCTTTTTTTTCTGATAGTGGCAACCATTTTGACTATGTCAGGGTGTTCTTGCATGAAAAGTAATGCTATTAAACAGATATATACCCTCAATGTTATATGGAAAGGGCAGAAGGATAATTTATTCTGCTGTCCAGTTTTCCCAGCCTCAGCAACTGGGGGAGCATGCCCTTGAACTGGATAAGCAGTTTCTCTGAGTGCCCAACACCTCTGAAGTACATGTTTAAGATGATTTTCTATTGGGTAAAACTCATAACTCTGCTACTGGCAAGTGTTCACACCAACATCCACGAAATGCTGTACATTCAAAATTCATGGCATAGCCTTTGTATGTGTTTGTGTGTGTGCTGCACAGTTATAGGTGTGCTCGCGTGCTCCGTGAAGATATGGAAGGGTCGAGTGAAAGAAACACAAAAGAATGAAACAGGAGCCTGGGAGGATGACTCAGTGGGAAAAGTGTTTGTGAATGAGGATTGGGGTTCAAGTTCCCAGGACCCCTGGCTGTTTGACTATAGTGCCCATATTGCCCATATTTGAGAAGTGGGGAGATGGGGGGATTCTTGGAGCAAGCTACAATGCTAGGCTAAGTGAATCATGGAGTTCTGGATTTGGTGAGAGACCTTCCTTATTAAATAAAGTGGAGAGGGATGGAGGAAAATACAGACGTAGTGACATCGCCTTCTGGCATCCATATGAACCTGTACTTACAGGTATCCACATACACACAAACACACATATTCATATGCACACTATAAATGCATATCTACAAATGGAAAGCAAAAAAAAAAACTCAAATGTAATCCCATAAGCCATGTAATTTATATACATGTTTTTTAAAGGAAGAAATATTGATCAATTCCATACCCAAGGACTAAATCCAACTCTTGTAGGAATTTGAAACATAATTCAAAACCCATTCAAAATAGCTGGTATTTCTGCAACACTATGTGTCATGTCTTAGATGAGACATTTCAAAGCCAGTGCCCTAAAACAGAGGCCTGGAGAAAGAGCAGCATCATCCAATTTTAAAGAGGCAGAAGTAGTGAAAGGAGCCTTTTCTTTTGTCTATAAAGTATCACCACTGTCACTAGAATTTTCTACAAATTATAATGGAATCAATTGGGAAAATAAAGACCTTTAAACCCTCGAAGAGAGTGTGGTGTTGTAAGAGACTGTATTAGGGAAGTTCTGGCAGAGTGGAGGAAGCTTCACCTTAGTCCATAATTCTGAAGTTTCTGCCATAGCCCATGGCCACGTGACCTGTGAGACAGAACACGGCAAGGGCAGAGATCTGACAGACACCACTCACCATGATAAACAGGAAGCTGCGAAGGGGCCTGGACGGAGGCACTGTGAATAACCATCACAGGCATGCTCACTGAGGCCAACTTCTTTCAGAAGCCTGCATCTTTCACCTTTCACCTCCTCCCTAAAAGGCCACCATGTAGAGATTAGCGCTGGCTCTGTCTAATCCACACACTGCCCGCTGGTACCTAGGCCCTTTACACACCAGCCTCTGAGGAGTGCTGTCTAGTCAAACCATCCCAGAATATATGTCAATACCCATGAAACCATGCTGGAGTAAGAAAGTAATCCTTTTGAGGTTTATTTCTTAGTTGAATGACCTACAAGCCATGGAAATAATACTTTTTTCCCAAAATTATGTTATACAACTTTGAAGCCCGAGTACGGTCCGAGTATGGTAATAAAAATTTAGCTGCCAATGTCGTGTTCCTGAGTTCCCTCTGTCGTACATCCAGCTGAGATTTCAAAGCCTCAGGGGTGCTGTTGCCTTCAGTGAAGCCTCAGACTGGCCCCAGTGGACCGAGGAACATGTGAGGGAGCGTGTGAAGGAGCATCTGTGGCAGAAGAATGTGGCTGCGGTCTGTGTGGAGGATCTAAGAGGCACCCATGACTTTCTAACATAGATATGATAGAACACCATAGCAGGAGATAGGATGGAAGTTTTGCAAATTCCACCTGTCAGAAAGCCCAGTAAAGGCATAATTAGACTTTCTCTGTTTCTCCCAAAAGCATGTCTGTGTGTTGTAGTGTGGTGTACTGTACTCATTGAATGGCAAAAATTGGGTCTATCTTATGAATTGAGAACTGGATTTAGAGGGATTTCCTGAAAATTGGCAAAACATGGCTGTTACATAGGATTCTGTTTCCTTAGAAATTTTTACAAGGCTGGAATCAAGTAAAAATACCCAACACCGTGGAGGTGGGCAGTCTTAGTCTAATGTGACCTTTGCTGGTGACTGCTGACACGCATTCGAGCTATAAAAACTTTCCCCACATGGTTCTGTACAGCGGGAGCTGTACCCCAGCATCCCACGTATCTGCGATCTATAGAAGTAATGTAGCACCAGGGTGGGAGCGGGAGATAGTGCTCTAGGTTCGAGTGCTGCTTGCAGATCAACAGTATTTGATTACAGAGAGGCCTCGGTCTGAATTGGCCATCTCATGCTTTCTTTCTGTGCCAAGTTGTGGGAGCAAAGATTCAGATGCTAAATGAAGCTGGGTGAAGGAAACAAAAGAAAAAACGGAATCTGAGAAACTCAGTCATGCTATTTCCTTGTTTAGAGTATTTGATTGTACTTTTTTAAAATTTATCATTTGAGAGTCTCATACATGTATTTGATATATTCTCATCACAAACATCCCTAGTCCCTCTCTTAGACTTGCCCCATCCCAACCTCCTACCAATGCTCCATCTTTGCCATTTTGTTGTCTTTTTGTTTTCGTTTTGGTTTTGCTCTGGGCCACACTGTGCTGTAGCAAGGCCACTTGCTTGGGTATGAGTGTGGAGCTGCCCACAGGAGCCAGAGTAACTCCGCAGTGGTTTCACTGATGAAGACAATGACTTTGTCAGGCCACCTTGAGCTCCCCTGGAGAGGCGGTCCCCATGAGTCCATTCCCACGTGGGGTTGGATGTTTAAAGGCTTGCTCTGTGCAGCCCCGATGTTAGACCTTCCTGAGAACTGCAGCCATGTCGTGCCCACAAGGAGCACTCCACAGCGCCTGTCTTCTTTCCTGGTTTTATAATATACTTCTACCACTGAACTCCAGCACTAGCTTGATAATTTTCAGTTTAACGTGGTCTTATTGAATTGCCCAGCCTGGCCTTGAACTCACTCTGTAATCATCATAAGTTTTGAACTTGAAATCTTCCTGCCTCGGGCTCCCAGACAGCTAGGATGAGGGGTCTGACTGAAACATTTATCTTCTGTTTGTTTACTGGGGAAAGCAAGAGATTTCTCTCTGAGCAGACAGAACAGTCCAGTTTAACAACAGATGGTCACAGCGGGGAGCTTTATTGCTGGCTGACTGTTACTGTCTGGGCAGTCACACATCATAGCCTCTGGTCACCTCTAATAAAGCTATCTGAGGGGATTCCTAACATAAAATAGCTATTTCTTCCAATGTTTCAAGAGAACCAGGAATCCTACACTTTAGGTGAAATCTATATGTTGGCTATGAATACATGTTACTAACCAATAGAAGAAGAAAAAATGCCCATTGACTCAAAATAAACAACCACACAGTACATGTGCTCAGTATATGAATAAGTGCTTTATCTGTCCTTTGAATGTTGCCTCCTGCTCTATTTAATCTATGAGGTCTCTGTTTAGAATGTATGCAGGTTTCACTATAGCAAGGCTTATACACCGGGGATCTTGTCCAGCGTTTTTCTAAAGCAAGCTAGCACATAACCCTGGATAAGCTACATTTCAGGGAGGCAGGGAGTCTGATTTGATGCAACTCCCTGAAGACCCATCTCAGAGGGGTGAATCTCCACGTGCCTGCCTGAGCTTTGCTTCATTGCCTTGTTGGATGGGACCCTGGGAGGCTGGGAGTGGTAGGCTTTATCTGCTATTCTCTTTCTTTTGTAAGCCTCATTGTTCGGTTTAATGTCCCTGATGAAAACCTCAGAGTTTGTGAAGCCTGGGGACATACATAAACTGTCGCAGAAATTAAAATTGGGATCATTTTGTCCATCTTCCTGACAGTGCAGGCTTGTATTTCCAGCAAGGTTATCCCTGGGGTCTCTTTCAGGTACTAGAAGGAGCCACAGAAAGAAGTTCATTTGCGTGTGATTTGCATACATTTCCATAAGTCTACCTCAGGTCTGTGAGTCTGAGCAAGTCTGAACAGAGGTGACTTTCAAGGGCAGTTCTCATTGCCTTCACTGGAAGATGGCAGTCCCTAAGAGGTCCTTCATTGCATGTAGAACATTTAGCATCTGGAGGGCACAAAGAAACCAAATCCTAGCTGGAAGGAAATAAGACCACTTGGAAAAGCACTTTGTGCCTTCTAAGTTTTACAATAATCCGAAGTCCGTGTTTATGGAATATTTAGTATTAGTCAAATGTTTTCAAGAGTCTAGGACTCATACTTGACAGTCTTACCTAGCTTTACTCTCAATTCCAATGAGGGAGAATGGTAGAGAAAACAAAAGAAGAGAAAAGAATGAGACAGTGAATAGATTCAGATATAGTTAGTACCCATGCAGAAAGTTTAACTGAGTCATGAATCACCTAGTGCCCCTAAGAGAAGGCAGGAGTGTGACAATGAGTATCGTGTTTTGGGAAGGAATTGGAGACCCAGACAACACCTGAATACTTGAGAAAGATTTGAGAAGAGTTCTCCAAAAAAGGCGGGAAATCTTTGGACGTCCAACTAGCCTGGGTAATTTTATTCAGATTAAAAAAATCAACACTTTATGTCTTAGATGGAGGCAGTGGTGCAAAATGGATGGGCCTTGGTTAGATTATGATCTTCTGGGCCAGCACAGTGAGGTTGTGCTTCTCCTGAGTCCGGAAAGAGGAGAGCTCTGAGCAGAGGGGCAGAGCAAGTGGTTGATGTCTTCCATAACTCTTTGGCCACTGCAAATAGAATGGATGGAGAGGGAAGGAGAATGAATGAGTCTTTTATTTTAAATTATTTACAGATGTTTACATGTGTGTGCATGTGTGCATATATGTGCATGTGTGTGTGTGCGTGTATGTACCTGTGGGTGTGTAGGTAAGTGCATGTGGATGCAGATGCTTGCAGAGATCAGAAGAGGGTTCCAGCGCCCCCTGGAGCTGGAGTTATAGATGGTTGGAAGCTTCCAAACATGGATGCATGGGAGCTTCCATCTAAGCTGTACACTGGGCTTATCCTCCAGCCCTAAGGGTGGTTTTTAATTATTGTTATTGTTTTCTTTTGCTTGGTATGACTTGTCTGGCCAGAAATAGATTGTAAAGAAGGAAGACACTGTCCCAAGTTTAATGGAGTATTTTTTAAATGGATTGCATATGAGATATGATGGTGAGGTAGCAACTACTGAGCAGAATTTTGAATGACCAATGGGTGGAAGTGCCATTGGCTGAAGGGAAAGACCAGATGCGAATCACGTTTCAGGGGAGAAGGGAGAGTGGAAGGTGGCACCCAGTTCAACAAGATTCAGAAAAGAAAAATATTCAAGTTCCCTGCTGGGGAGCGAGAAGCCTTGTTTAGAAGATGGGTCTGAGGTAAGAAGGGATGTGGCACAGTCGTAAGGCCCAAATTTGATTTAAACAGTCTTTCATGTTCAGTCAGGTCATCATGTACCTCAGTGTCCAAAATCAAGCAGTTCCCTGGCTCCAGTTGGACCCAACTTCCTGAAGGTTATTCAACCTCTCAAAACAGCAGCACCTGCTAGGGTCTGCTGTTAAAACACAGGAGCCTACAGGGACATGTCTCAGCCAAACCATAACAGCACTTAAAAATAAGCCATTTCTATTTCTCGGGTCCATTTATGAAAGGTATTTAGTGTTTGACACTTGATCCAAGACACAAGGGCACATAGGGTCACACAGGGTGGAGCTTCTTTTGGAAAATGCTTTCTTGGCTCCGATGGAGTACTGAGTTCAATCCCCAGAGCTTCATAAACTAGGTATAGTATCCCAAACCTACAATCCCAGTATTCACGAGAAAGAGGCAGGAAGGCCAGAAGTTCAAAGCCATCCTAGTTTATATATGAGTTCAAGTCCAGCCCGGGGTACATGAGATTTTTAGGCTACTTAAGACTGTCTCAAAAACAATTCTACGAGTATTGATTTCCTTAGAGATTTACTAGGAAAATCAGAAACAATCACAGGCTCTGAGGCATAATCGCTCTTTCCTGATGTTGCAGAAACAAACATACAAAACCAAACAGGCCCATAATGTGCTTTCCAATATGGCTGCTCTTGTGTGTTGTCTTCTTGAGTGAAAATTTCTTAGGAGCCGGAGTTCATAGTTAAGATGTACTTCCACCAATACCATTTAGCAAGCCAGAGACTACTGCTAACATCATAGACAAGTGACCTGAATGTTGCCTTTGATACCTAACACTGACTAAGGCTTCCCCGGCTCCTGAAAGGATTGGAATGTATTCTACAGCAGATCTCTGCTGGTGTCTCTGCTATTCCCAAACCGCACAGCCCTTGGAAGTCTTAGAGGTCACCATCAGGTTGGCTAATCGTCAGAATGCGTTCCCTCAAAGAGTTCTATTTAGGCAAGCTTTGAAATGTCTGTGACATTAATGCAAGACAGCAAGTGATGGATTATCTAACAATGTTCTATGAAGTAAGGCAAAAACTGAAATTACCATTGTGGATACGCTGATATGGTTGAGCCTGCATTCTGTCTTCCTCACAAGGTTCACCTGTAGCCGGTCAGTGGTGTTCATTCCATTTATCTGCGATAGCAAAAAACCAAAAGCATAGACTCCAGAGTTGACAAGCAAGTTGGTGCATGTTCAACTTACAGAGCCTTGAAAGTTTCCAGTCCAAACGAGTGCACTACCTCACTCTGTTGTCACTGTGGTTGCCTTGATGGGGGAGAAGTTCCCGACTCAAATGTGATGTAATCCTTCTGTGCTTGTTTTAAGGCTGGAAATTAAATCCAGTTGTGGGCGCCGTCTACAGCCCAGACTTCTATGCAGGTAAGGAACTTTGCTTTGCACGCCAAAGTCTTGCTTGGTCATTTCTAAATGTGCTTTGCCTGCCCCTACATCCTGGGTTTTGTAGCTTAATCCAAATGAGGAATCACATCCTAACAAGTTCCCAACAATTTCTTGGGGCAAAACCAAGAGTGTTTCCAACTCTGCAGTGATTGTAAGGTAAGCAGAGGGCTCCGCCACTCATGACATTTCACATGGGTTCTCCCCAGGAAAGTGCTGGGGTTTTGCACAGCTGTCCACTGGACAGACGGGTGGTGGCCCCTTCCTGTTTGAATGCAGTGCCCCAGCTGTGCACCTGTTAGCTGTGCATTTCCATCAGAGTTGCTTTCCTCATTCCTAAGAAAGCAAAGGATCGAGTCAGTCATTTCACCCAAGTGCAAACCGGGAATTTCCAAGATAGTTTATGTGAAAGTTAGGAAGAAAAACATGACTTCAGTCTTTCTTTCTCCATGGGTCAATTGGGCTTAGCATGGTCACTTCTCTCTAATTTGCTCCATGCATATGTCTCTCATCCCCTATCCCCTACTGCCTTTTAGTAGGGAAATCTACCCACTCAGACAACTCAGTGAACAAATCGGGGGGGGGGGGGGGGGGGTGAGCCAGAAGCCTCCACAACTAAGATTCTTTACTTTGACATGGCAAGTTAACCTGCCACTGCTTCTGAGGTTTTGTTAGAAGGCTGTCTTGAAAGTCTAGTACCCTGGCAGACTTTCCTTATGTATGTGGGGAAAGAGCCTTCCTATGGCATGCCTCTTGAACATTACACAATTGATAAATAGTTTATCTTAGTGGTGAGGTAGATCTTGGTTCACTTCTTCCTCTTGCCCAGCTCCTGCCATTTTTCTGAAACTAAACATCACTAGTAGAGGATATGAAAAGATTAGAGCTTAACTACTCTTTTGCACAAACCAAACTTGGATAAACTTGGGAAGGGGGCATACAAGAGCTGAGATTTGTATTTCAGCTATACAGTGTTTGCAGTCCTCTTCCTATGTGAGTTTAGATTAAGTCTAGGGATTGCACCACCATGCAGCAGCTATGTTCACTCTTATCAGGGAGAGTACACTTGAGTGTAAGGCTCCTCAACAATTCTACTGTGTACCCTACCTCCTGAGAGGATGCACTAGAAAGAGAGGAACATGCACGAGAAACCAGACAGCCCAAATTCAAACTCTCTTCCCCTGTTTGCCAGATATTGACTCTGAACAAGTTATTAAGCCTCTCTGTACCTCAGTTTCTTCATCTCTCAAATGGGATTATGGTAGCAGAAGTGCATATGAGTTTAATAGAATATAAGGTAGGGCTGTTTGAAGCCCTCACTACTTATTCCACATCATATAATGTTTGTGGAATAAAAATGAGCAAGTTAATATTTAATCTTTGTGTCATGGTGGGAGAAGGCATATTAATAACTGATACTCCTGAGCCGTGAACACACGGTTAGTCTCAAGTTGTTTTCAGTACTTGTAAAAGGACTTGTCTATGAACTCTCAGCATATCTACTTGGGTTGTTAACTTCTGGTCTTAGGGACAGGGCTATTTGTCCAGAAGCAAGGTGCACCTTGGAAGGTACTGTGTTTGGGGCTACATCTTCTCCAAAGCTGTAAAAGTATAAAATCTCCTCAAAGATCAGAGAAGATCTGGCTTCCACATACCTTCAGAGACAGCCAGGAATCTGCAGCATCTGACCCAAGGCAGTGGCAGGTTCTCTAGCCTGTGAATGCTTGTGATATGTGCTTGTGTTCACATTATTCTCTCCAGAGACTTGGGGTCCAGAGCAAGAAGCAGAAAGTATTCTCATGGGAGTTTGTCACAGATGTGGGCATGATCTGAGAGTCCTGTGTAGTTTTCCCTTTCTAATGGTTATCCTTGCTCTACTGATCAGGAAAATGTCTACTATCTCCTTTATTTGGGATTCCAGACCATAGTGAATGCCTGCTGGTGTTGAAGAACACAAAGACAGGCTTAGACTCACATACGCACGCATAAAGGAGTCTGCATTCCTTCAACAGCATCAAACTTAGTTGATACTAGATCAAAGCCCAGGCTAGGCAGAGAGGTCCCTGGGGTAGAGAAGGACAGCAAGTTTGGAGGGGTAATGAGTACTCAGTACTTTCTGTAGTCTGGCACTAGTCTTAGCACACTCCATACATGATTGTATTAAATCCTTGTTGCGGTTTTGCAAATTAAAGCACAAAAGAGTGGCGCCCAACGTGGGGCTTGAACCCTATACAAAGAGTGTACATCTCCTTTAGGATTTAACAGAAAAGTGGGTTTTTTTTTGTTTGCTTATTTTTTCAATCTCAGGGGCTGAATCCTTTGTAAGTGGATACCATGAGTTTTTATATTTTATGAATATTAAGTCTACATTTCTGTGGCTGTGGCCTGTGGTCATTCCACTGTCCAAACCAGAAAAGTGAGACAAACCAACTTGTCTCTATTGCCGTAGCGGCACCACCACAGTTAGGTATGTGAATTGGTTGGGTGAGGACCATCTTGAAGAAACCCGAGTGACCGATGATGTCATTCATATGAGGTTTGCTCAGTAAATTAAAGTCTTGGATTTTGTTGTTGTCGTTGTTACTTTGTTTGTGTGTTTGTTTGTTTTCTTAACAAGGAACCTGGCATAGAAGTGTACACCTGCATCTTAGCACTTGGGAGGCTGAGGCAGGAGAATTGCCTTGAGTTTGAGGGCTTATATACTGAAACCCTGTTTCACAAAAAAAAAGAAAGAAAGAAAGAAAGAGAAAAATAAAGAAAGAAAAGAAAAGAGAGGCTGAGACATTAGCTCAGTTGGCAAAATGCTGACTTCACATACAAGTATGAAGTCTGGGTCTGATGACCTATACCTTCCAGCTGCATACCCATGCTAGGAGTTTGACAAAGCATCTAAACTTCCTTAGCTACAGAATGAGTCTGGATTTCGCTTGCAGTATGAAGGGTGGCTCATACCAGAAATAAAGACCTTGTCATTGCTTGCTTTGGATTTCATAGGTCATCCCTATGTATGTCCGAGATGGAAAGCCAGACTCATTAGTCATTTCTCAGTCTAAGATGTGTTCGTGACAGATTTCATGACACTCCCGCAGCATAATTATTGATTTTCCTCAAGCTTATGCAGAATGAACCATCCAGCCTCCAATTGTCTCTCAAAATGGGCCATGGAAAGTTCACAGATTTTGTAAATTAAAATCAATATTTTCAATCTCTCCTAAAGGTAATTTTCCTAATTTAGTGGACTTTCCCCTAACATTTATTTTCTCTTTTAATTATAAAATGGCAAGTTATTGATTTTCCTATAGAACCTTCTGATGCCCCCCAGTGCATTTTTATTGCTGATGTCGGATGGGGATGGGGGTGGGGAGTGAGGGCGTACTTCTTAATGAAGACCTTTAATTACTAGCTGAACAGTATTAATTTGCTTTGATAGATTATGACATTTGCACGCACACACATACACACAACCCTGGGAAGCATTTAGAAAGCCATTTGAAAAGGTTTTTCATTTTAGAGGGTGTATTTTTTTCTGGTTTCACCTCCAGTCATACTATGAACTCTTTTAAATTCGTTTTGAATGCAAGCGTGCTGAAGCAAATGTACATAAATCTGCATATTCTAGGAACAGATATAAATCTTTGCAAAGACAGGTGGGTGTTTTCATATAAAGCTAAGCAGCATTGATTATTTCCCCAAGTCTAATTATCTTTAGACCCTGTGAGGTTTATTCTCAAGACAAATGATTGATAAGTCAATTAAGGCACAGATGGGTCTTAACGATTTTGACCAATATGTATGGCCACACCATCTTCAGGCTTAAATAAAATTTGGGGTGCTAATAGAAATGGGATATGTGTGGGTATCTGCCCCCATCGGTATTCCTCAAGTTACTGGGTATAATTAGATAGCGCATGTCTAAGAATCAGAATAAAGAAGACTCGTGAGGGATTCTTACCATATCACTGAGCAGAGAGGAGCCTATTTGCCTTTTCTAATAAAATATTTTGAGATTTGAGGAGATGACTTAGCTGGTAAAGCACGTGCCTTGCAGGATGAGGACCTGAGTTCAATCTCCGGAACTCAGGTTAAAAAGTGAGGCATTCTGGCACTTGCCTATCCTCTCAGTCTAGGGAAGGAGAAAAAAAAATGGGTTCCTGGAACCTCACAGCCAGTGACTCTAGCCTACTTCTCAAGCCCCCTGCCCCAGTCTCAAAAAACAAGGTGGCTAGTTCCTGAAGAGCAACACCTATCCTGTTCCTTCTGCATGTACATGCACAGCACCCATTCATGTGTGACATGTGTACACCCAAACGCGCGCATCTAAGAAATCCTCACCACTTGAAAATGTAGTGTTTTCTTGTTTACCTATCCAGTAAAGCAGTTGATTCAATATACCTTTAATATCCATAATAAGTGAAGGAAAATAAATAAGAAACAGAAGGCCATTCAATGTTGTCACAGTAGTACTGACAAATGGCCCTGCTCTGATCCTCAATTGCCCGTAAGATCCACAGGACAGAGCTTCCCCACACTGTATATCATATCAGCCAGCTCATTTCTGTGATTAAATATTCCATCAGTGGGGCTAGAAGGTGGCACAGCTTAACAAGGTTCAGAAGATGTAGCACTTGAACACACATAACTCACTCCTGGGTTGCGAGAACACCCAGCCTGCAAAGGGAAATTGCAATTTAGCTACATTACTCCAGGAGACACAATCAATAGAGAAAGGAAAGGAACTTCTAGTGAATTGCAGATCAAAGATAGGGTTATGTCTCAAAGATGAGAAAGGTTACCATTAGAAAGAAAGGAAAGAAAATAAGGTGAGGTAGATTATGGCAAGTGGAAAGCTAAGATGGTGGAGGAGGGGGAGAAATGTGGCCCTGTGGGCAATCACTCTCATTAACAGTATTGTTGAAGGGAAGGACTAGGTTGACACATCTAAAAGCATTTGTTGCTTATTCTGAAGGGGAGGGGGTAATAAG